AAGTAATTGAACAAAGAAGATTTGCCTTTTTCTATAGTAAAAAGCTGGCCAAGAAACAGATGACAGGTTTCTTTGATTCTTTTTCCATCTGAAACATATTCTGGCCCCAGGAGTGGGCAAGCGTGACAACCCCTCCAAACCTTGAGCACTCGATTCTCCCTCATTTTGGACAAAAAAAAGCAGATTGTACATTATCAAGGTCCAATTAAATCATATCCCAAATCCCAGGTTGGACAGAGGTGTGGAAGGGGGTCAAATCATGGAGTTCTCATTGACTGGGTGTTCTGAACATGTGGGGAGTGATAGTAATATCGTACAGGACCCAAGTTTCTGCCATTTCTCATTTTGGATGAAGTAACGACACGTGATCTAGGCAGCTCTCGAATTTCTCTACATATGGCCGTGTCTTGAGATATGTTCCAACGGCTTAATGGTCTAGTAGCATGATTCCTCCTTCGGGGTTTACCTCGCTTTGATAATCAAAGTATCTGGAGGAGGTCCTGGGTTCAATTCCCAGTTAAGCCCGACTTTTTGAAGGTTTTTTTCGTCTTTCTATCCCCTGGATACGAGGATGGGGTTGGATTGTTATTTTCGCCAGGTTAGCTCTAGAAGTCCAAATAATAACATACTCGTACACTACGGGTACGGGCCGACCAACCCGGGAAACTCATTTCAGGTTCAACAGGAGTCGTACATTCCCGGCAGTTTCAGTCTCTTTTACCAGAGACGTACCTTAAAGTCTGAAAGACACTAGCATATACAATGAGCGATCTCCTAGAAGGAAAAGGTACGTTGACGTGATAGGCTCGGAAAATCAATTAACGCAATTGGACGACGTCACCGACAGTTGAACTTGATCCTACCGTAGACTTTGTGGCTGGAACTATAGCGGTAAACTTTACATTCCTGACTGTTTCCTGAATCTACTTGACATCTAAAACAGGGTATAAGTGGCCTGGTTGTAGGTTTTCCGTTGGACACTGGTCAGCATCCAATGACGCCTTTGTAAAAATTGACATGTCACCACACTCACTAATAATACAGTCAAAGTTCGCTTTCAAAATCCGCAGACGGCCATAAAATATCGTTCTACTCTTAATGCAGTCTCTACCATCATACGTGAAGAGCGATTTTTCGGTTTGTATAAGGGTATCACTTCACCATTGGTAACTCCTTCCATCAGTCCATCAGTCGTCTTGGAATTGACTCTTTGGCAGGCCTCGAGTGCCCTTTTGAATGGCCTGGTCTTTGCTTCATACCGCTTTTTTATGAAATTACAATTAGATCATAATGAAGCCACACCTACACTCACCCAGATCACCCTTGCAGGCATCGGAACTGGTATTGTATCGTCGTGAGTCTCCGCGGTCAAGCTGTCGGCAGTGATTCCTTCATTCTGATGTGACTTCAAGTTTTTTAACCACGCCAATAGAATTAATCAAGATCAGGCAGCAGAATTGCCTTGGGAAATCCACTTCTGTCTATAGCACCGCTCTTCAGATTGTTAGGACTTCCGGTATACGGGGTCTGTATCGTGGCATCACCTCAACGGCTCTGAGAGACACCGGATACGGGGCCTATTTCCTTTCCGTGAGTCGGTTCCTTCCTTATGATAACGATCCTGATCATTTTCAGTACGAAGCGACCTGTCGCCTTCTGTCGCCTTTCGCTGCAAGGTCCGTAGAAAGCAAGGCATCAGAGCCCGCTTGGTGGCCGATGCTTATCGCCGGCGGGATTGCCGGGATCTGTATGTATCACCTTTTTCATCACGAGTACAAAACATAATACTTTTTTTAGTTGGATGGGTAATGACTTTTCCGTTTGATGTAGTGAAGACTCGCATACAGGGGACTGATTACAGCAGCTTAAGGTTTGGCGGTCCCATGCTGTGATTTTCTACTCACAGAAACTTCTTGTCTAGACCTCTTGATCTTAGCACGAAAAAATATAACCCTTATTGGAACACTGCCTCCACGATTATTCATTCATACCGGTCAGAAGGCATTAACGTGTTCTTTCGGGGTCTCGCACCCACACTACTTCGGTAAGGAGTTTACATATATAATTCTACTGAACTTGATAGTGTTCTGTCGTTCTGTCTGAACTCTAGAGCCATCCCTGTAAACATGGTCACATTTACCACGTTCGAGGCCGTCGTTCATGCATTCGCATAACCAAAAGCCTGGATCCATTTGTGGGTGATCATCGGTCCACTTTTGTGCTTCGTCCGATGGTTTCCAACAACATGATCAGGTGGGGTGGCGTCAACGTGGCACGCTGGAGCTTATCACTGTTTCCTACTTACGACAAGTTCTGGATCTAGGCCAGGTTCCCTCTTGTACGAGAATTATGATAATGATCTGTGGGGATAGCCAGCTTGTTCCCTAGCAATATTCTAAGAATGTTATTCAGCCGTTAAGACAAATCACAGTCGACGTCAGGACGTTTACTATACAATTGTGGTACATGTACATTGTCTGTCTGGGTGCGGGTAGAATGAATGCATAGTGGGTGGTATACAGAAGAATGACGGAAGAATGATAAAGAGATCGATCTCGTCCGGTAGCTCAGAGCCAATTCGAATCCATGCTCAGCTGTCACGCATTAGCTCATCTCCATCACTGTCGCGCTCAAAACCAGAGGCCTCATCCATGAGATAGTCTTGGCCGCCCTCTACTTGCGCCCGGGAATAATATTTCTCTTGTTCCTCCCTCGTCGGCGCCAGATTGCCAAGATCGAGCAAGGTTTCTGCCAATAACTTCCGTAACTCCTGAGCATCCTCATCACTGAGCTCCCCGCAGTCAGCGGATCCTTTCGCACGCTCAAAGAAAGCCAGTGCCTTGAGTAACCCAACCCGAGCATCGCGCGCCTCCGGCGAGTCGACAAGACTCGCATCGGACTCTTCCATAGCGTCCTCGAACTCTTCTGCGCGTGCCGAGCCCACGACAAGCCAGCAGCGTCCTCTGGCACGATTTATCGGACTTCGCCACGCATCCATGTCTGCCTCCATCTTCATTTGGTTAAAGATACTGTCTGCCCATGTGGCCCAGAAGTGGCGCTCCGTGGGCAAAGTAAGCTTTTCCGCGACTGACAGAACCTCTGATGCAATCTGGAAGAGTTCTTTCGCACGAGAGAATGTCTCTGCGCCAATCGGCAGGACCTGCGCCTGGTGGGCATGATGTGGCATCCGGAATATACCGCGTGAGAATTGATCCATGGCCAGGACCATGAGCTCGTTTGGGGTCGCAGAAGAGAGGGTCATGCGGCGTGTGAAAGGCGGGCGCCGACGGACGATCATGGAAAAGGGCGACTCAGGAGGCCACTCCGGATCCTCTGCAAAAATCTGGGAGACGGATGGTACCTCGCCTGTGGCGCTCTCTCCTTCCTTGCGAGTTTCTGCTTCAGAAGTCACCATTTGCTCGGCAAGAGCAACGAGGGTGCGTCCCCAGATGATAGCCATTTGCCAATCTTCAGGGACTTCAGCACCGCGTCCGCTGGTGCGAATAGGTAAATTTTCACCCATCTCGAACACATCGAGAGCAGAGAGCCAATAGGGAAGAGGTGTATTGGGTTCACCAGGAGCAGCTTGCGTTGGATCTTGGTCGATCAGATTGCCGAACATGAAGAGCACGGTGCCTAGAATGACGTGGAAGGCGGTAGGTAGCTCGACACACTTGCTGCGAGTTTTTTGATTATCGATGGGCAATCTGAAACTAGATCATAGAGAGCCTACCATTTCAAGTGTTTTGTCGGCAGAGAGCTCAACAAAACGCTCGAGACTGCCTCGTCTGCTGTCCTGGATGTGTGATGCTTTGATGAAGTGTTTTTGAGGAGCACAGATGGATCCGGGTACGCCAACATGAACCTATGACACTCGTGGATGACACCTCGGATGATGGGAAGTGCTTCTGCGGCGCTAGCGTCTACATAATCTGCCATTTAGCCAACACCCGGCGTCGGTTGCGCTGATGCACACACTTTCAAACTGATCACTCGCTTGGATGAACAGTTCTTTCAAGTCCTCCCAGTCCTCATAAGTCCAGGATGAGTTCTCGGGCGGATTGCCAGGTCCAGCTACGGAAGAGACGTCCATTGTTTTGTGTGAAGTTTCCCAGTTGCTGACGTGGTTCGGGTCGGGGCTGCAGCCACGAGAATAGTCCCAATAGTAGATTTTATCAACGTCACTCAGGGCCTCGAGGGAAGGGGAGCGGCGTCCTTGGGAGGAGGACGACGAAGGAAGAGAGGCGTCGTCGTCGTTGTCGGACTCGAAGTCTTCGCCGGACGGTTTCCTTTCGTGGTCATCTGCAGCCGGGAGCCGGGGTGGCATCACGCGGGCCTTCCACAGGCCTCTTGGCCGCTCTCGTTTTCGTGGCGTTGGCGCTGCCATCATTCTGTGGTTGTGATTACTGAACGAGACAGGGAAGGGCATTGATTCGCTCGTTGTATTTCTCATTTGCATATTTATCCCAGCGATGGTCCATTCTGGGCCTTGTGTGTTCTGGGCCCGGCAGTTCTAATCTTTCTTAGATCACAACGGTCTAGGCCTATCTAGATTGATTTCTGCACTTTCTCCATCACCCATCTTCTGCAGGACCCCGGATGGTACCCCCGTTCGAAAATCCGGCCATTGTGGCCCAAATCGTATTTTCGAGTCCGCAAGTCGGAACACGAGTCACACCGCCGGACTTTTCTTTGACACTCTCTGTGAACATCGTGATGCGTCCAAGCTGATGCTGTTCTCAGTATCAAGGCCCGCAGAACTCTAATCAATGCAGTCCGCGATATGGTACGAATCTCGGAAAAACAGATGCTTTTGTCTCTAAGCACTGGCCACCACAAAAAACGGAGAAATCCAAACAGCCTGGAAGCACAAATCCGGGGTCCTCTCTGTGATTCATGATCCCGCCGGCTACCAGCCCCTTCGCCGGCCCCCCTTGCCCCATTTCTCGATCAAAAAATCTGTCATGAACTGGTACACCTCTCTATTTGCCCCTCGGCGTGAAATTGCATGATCGCTGTGAAGGTAACCCGAATAGCGGCGGATGCCGTCAGCCAATCAGCCAGCGACAACATTTGAACCCACCTATCAGTAAACATCCTAAATCTAAAATTACGGACCTGGGCCTCGGTGAACATATCGAGCAAGTGGGCCGAGTTGGCGTAATGTACGTTGTCGTCACCGCTTCCATGTGCCAATAGGAAGTCGACTTCACGGAAGCCAGTCACATTTGAAATGGATGCATTGATGTAACCTCCCGGATTTAGCTGCGGTAGGTTCATGTAGCGCTCTGTATATATGGAATCTAGCATCTTTCTGGTCAATTGATGGGCGTGTGGGAGGATGCCGGCGGGTGTCCATGTGCTCACCATACAAACGCCAGCTGGTTACTGGCTGTTTGAGATCGGCAACAGATACAGTGAGGTCCGGAACGACACAGGTCGAGGCACACGTTACGTACAGCAACAGCCATTGAGAGAGAATGCACACCTGCGGTAGCTTCCACCACCTTTGAAGCCATGAAACC